ATGTTCAGTGAAATATTTACTCTGTGTTGCAAGTCAAAATAGTGTACACGAAGATCGCACAATTACCAAGCAAGTGACTTCACCATTACCGATGCTCCCCACAAATATACCTACATTTCAAAAACTGTATTTCATTTTTGTTGATCAGTTATACGTCCTTCTACTTTCAATTAAAATGCGCTTACGAATGGCGAGCACAGGTCGCGAACAAGTCTAGATTTCTGCTATATCATCCGGATACTCACTGGGAAAATACAGTAACAACTACAGGTAACAACTACTCCCGCGGAATTGCTTTAGATCAGTGCTCCTTTGTACGTTGAAATACTATATATTGTGAATGCCAAAATGATGTATCAAGGATCAAGTAGAAGATACATTGACCGTTGCGCTGGGATTTTATTCAACAGACCGTGAAAATAACACTGCTGTATCTTATTATTTATTTTAGATGACGCAGGCAAAGCTCACTTCTCCTGGCGGCCATTATCAAACGGCCAGCTAAAACCCCGCGCTTACGTCTACAGGTCTCTTCCTGTAGTACGGTAATTAGTATTCTCTCCCTCAAGTGTATCCTCAATGATATAACCCACCCTCATTAATTACATGCTGCTCTTTTCCAGCCTCACGGCTATGGAGCTGTGATAAAGAGTCCAAGTCATCATAAAGTAATTAGGGTCCAATAAAAACAATGCGCCGCCAAACCTCATACATATTATCACTGAAAGTCGTACTACAGACGGTTAATGTCAAATCACAATAAAAGCATTTCAGTTGCAATAACATGTTCCAGGACCATGTATTCTCTTAACACCATCGGATTTAGAAGCAATGGTCGTATAAAACAAAACAGATCTATTTAATCGCAACAGTATTCATGTTATTCCCACAAAATCACATAAAGAAAGGAGACATTAGGAAATACATGTGTATTATCATTTTTCGTCAGGATAACAAAATTTTCTCTCCTTGTTACCACCTCCAGGTTCAGCTTAACACGGGTCCTCCTTTGGTCAAAAGTTTGTTCCCCCTCTAATGAGTGTGTCACGCGTTGCACACGAGTGGCGGACGGGGTGCACACCCGTGTGCAACGCGTTGCACACGGGTCTCACACGCGTGACCAACCCGATGCACACTGGTTGCGTAACGCGTTGCCCATGCGTGTAAGGGGAATGAACTTCTAGGCAGTAGTGTAGATGACATGAATTATAGACTTCCCAAAATAGATGCTGATTATTTCCTCAAAGTAACGGAGTCAGTACATCGACTTGCACATCCTTACCTGGGATATTGCTGAGTGTGGTGTTAAATAACAAACAACCAATCCATCCTTATCTTTCTTTCTGGTTTGTTGTTTAACGCCGCACTCAGCAATACTCCAGCTATATGACGGCGGTCTGTAAATAATCGAGTCTGGACCAGACAATCCAGTGATTAATATCATGAGCGTCAATCCACGTAATTGGAATTGATGACGTTAATTAACCAATTCAGCGAGCCTGACCACCCAAACCCGTTAGTCACCCTTTACGACAAGCATAGTTGCCTTTTACGGCAAGTATGGGTTGCTAAAGACCTATTCTACCCCGGAATCTTCACGGATCCAATCCTTATCTAACCAGAAGGATGCAATGTTTAAGTTGTTGAACATTAGTACATTGCTGGATTTTATTTGGGACCTTTTAGATAATTCTATATAATGGCAATGAGTGGATACTCATTGAAGCAAAGTTGTGACTATAACATTTAGCATAGAATGTACATTTCTCGATACAATTTGCGGATATTTATGTATTGAGTTTTCAGTAATGAAACTTAACCTTGGGGATGCCTGACAAACAACGAAAGCGGTGATGTATAGCGTTTGGAATGTTGGAGATCAGAAGACTGATTTGGTGATTATATAGGGAAACCTGAACGCTGTGCAGTCCAGAGACGAAATGTTGCAGCCAGTTGTGCTTCCGTTCTTACACAACCAACAGCAGGGTCATTGTTTCAACACAACAATGCCAGGCCCCATACTGCAAGACTGACTCGGAACTTTCTAAACCCGCAGAACGTTGACGTTTTGCCCTGGCCTGCCCACTCACCCGATATGAATCCTATTAAACATCTGTAGGACCATCTTGACAGACGGATTAGAGCACGCCATCAGCCTCCTGTCAACAGACAAGAATTGCAGCAGGCCCTGAGAGACGAGTGGCAACGGATTCCAGTCCACGTCATCAGAAGACTGACGTCATCGATAAGGCATGCAGTGTGGCAGCTGGAGGTCATACACGCTATTGAAGGCAACTTTGTCGACACTGAACATGTAGTCTGTATGACAATTTTTTGGTGACATTTCAGACAACTTTTGAAAATGAAATTTCTTACCCCACCATTGTTTACCTTGAGCTTACATTACCTGTGATTGCACAATTTCATTCAAACTGTGGTTGATCAATCATTTGTTACCCCTCCCCCCATTATATTATAACTCACAACAAAACCTCTTCTTGTTTTGTTTTTATGGATCATGGAACTCGACCTATACTTTCTTTTGCCACCCAGATTATTATTGAATTTTCTTTCCCTTTTGACACTAATGTGATTGACAAGATTTCGGAAACAAATGGAAAATATGCAGACCTCTCTTTCGAAATGTCAGGCTTGCATCCTAAGTACCAAGTTGTCCGACTCCCCATTGTTCTCGGTGCCTTAGCTTTGGTACCTCCCAATCAGTGGACTGACATTGGGAGAGTACCCGGGTTTGCTACCAGGAATACAGCCCTTCTGACAATCTGGGTAATGCAGAAGGCTGCAGTGTTGGGGAGTCTTGACGTTCTCTGAAAAGTTACGGTTGGATGTGACTAGGCAGCGCTTCCTGGGAGAAGTTCCATTCGCTGTCTGGCCATGACTATGGTAAGGGTTTTGTCGAGTTTATGCACTTAAAACGTGTGAAATACTGCATGAGTTGTCAAAGATCCTGTTTCTTGCTGGTCGAGGAAGAGGGAGTCATATAGTTGTCGTGAATTAGTATATCCTTTGGCCAATTTCACTAACATAGTCCAGAATGTACATGCTTTTGTACTACACATGGGGCAAATATTGGTTGTGTATGCCAGGGAATTTTTTTTTGACGCGATCGAAATATACAATGTCAATCTTAGTAATAATGCGGCATTTATTTTTGTTGACAAGGTGCGTTCCTGATACTGTTCATGTTCTTCACAATAATTGGAGCCATCCCCTGTGTGTTTCTGGAAATGACCATCGGACAGTTCTCTCAGAGTGGACCTATTAAAGTCTGGAATATATGTCCTGCTTTCAAAGGTGACAACTGAAATATGCCCAAGTGGCGATAGGCAAGTAAGCCCCAGTTTCAATTTGGGAAGCTATGTCTAGTTACACTGCTTTCTCTAGCGGCCAACTTTATCTAGGCAGTTGGGACTCCTCGCCAAGTTTCGAAGGAAAGATTTGTATCTAGTTGCAAAAGGGTATCCTGCCATAGTTTCAAAAGGAAACATTTACGTCGTTTCCACACGTATTGTGGTGGTGTGCATGAGTTGAGCAGTCGTCAACGGTGCCGCAATTGAGTTGCATCCATTAGGTATGGCAGGATCCAGTGAAAATGGATTTCAATCCTAGATAAACCATGATTATTTGGTTATGATCCCTGCTTGATCACCACCATACACTTGGTCGTGTGTAGCAGTGTAGAAGTAAACGCCAAATATCTCTTTCAGTTTTCTTCAACATCAGGGTGACTCACAGTGGTATAAGAGACCATGAATGACAACATGGCGTTGACACAGTTACATTTTTCAAGGACGTTTCGTAAATCAGTATGACACGCCCACATACCGATCCTTATATTTACAATTATTGCAGGTATAGGGGGATTGCCTAAAAGTCGGGCCAAGAAAAGTCGGGCCGGGCCAGGCCAGCGGGTAATACTAAAAAAGGATTGCAAAATACTAAAACGAAACGTGCATATCAAGGCAGGTCTCAAATATCCACAAACGTATTGTTTTGCTCATTTAATTGATTTTGAATCAAACTGCATCTTCAACAATGTAATAGACTGATAATTATGACTACATACCGTGAGTCCTCGAAGAAAAGTCCGTGTCTTGACTGTGTGTTTTCTTTGATGACAAGGTTTCTCACCGACCTTACCGTGTAGGGGCGTGATGTCCTGGGCAAGTACACATTGTACCCATGTCGGGAATCGAACCCGGGTCTTCGGCGTGACGAGCGAATTTCAATCTCAGAACACTTGAAATGTAACGTGTCGATTCCCAAAGTGAAACAATGTGTTCATCCAAAAATCTGTACGTAATATAACTCACAAACAAACAAAAATTAATCACATTTATATATTAAATTTACGTTATGATGGCAAGCTTACATTCAAGGGCCAATACTACTCTCTCAAACAGCCAAGTATGAAATGATATCCATCGTTAAAGGTCTGATGTACAGCATAATCGGTCTTAATTGGTTATGCCGTCATGTCCACCCGTTTCAATTCGGAAATTATGAGAACTTGTACGTAATCTTGTCAAAGCTAAGTGAGTTAAGTTTAACATAATTTTCACAACCAATACAGATCTAAAACATAAGTATATGTATGTTTTAGAACCACTAGAAATGCCAGGCTTGTTCATATGAGGTCGGGGGCGGTCGGGTAGCCAAGTGGTTAAAGCGTTCGCTCGTCACGCCGAAGACCCGGGTTCGATTCCCGACATGGGTACAATGTGTGAAGCCCATTCTGGTGTCCCCCGCCGTGATATTGCTGGAATATTGCTAAAAGCGGCGTAAAACCATACTCACTCACTCACTCACTCATATGAGGCCGTATCTTCGGAGAGAAGTATTATTTCATCCGTAACTTGCCTGTAACTTGCGGACCTCCATTGCTATCCAGACGTTGTTTATACACAGTCACACTGTTGGGCTGCCACAGCTGACTGAGTTTCTTTTCTGTGCATGCGCACAATCCCTCCATACAGTAGGTTGTGTTGACATATTGAGGTGTATGATGGCGTCGTGTCTATTCACGTACCTATAAGGTAGGTAAAATTCGGTGACTTGATGAAGTATTGTCTCTTATACGGGTTCTGTGATACATTGGTGTATTGCCACTATGGTTGCGTAATCTGAAAACAGTAAACTTAAACATACTGAGAGTATGTTTAAGTTTACTGTCTTTAGATTAATCAACCATAGTGAGACGAATTGCAAATCATGGGACAGTGAATATCCTATGTGGGAGATATATATGTTCTTGATTTCATTGGATTTGGAAAACACTACCGGTGAGACTCTTTATGCAACGTTTGCCAACTACATGATTAACTTATGCTTTCGCTGAAAACAAACTAGTTTCATGTAACGAAATTCATTCACCATAATTATGTTCAATGAATAATAAGTCATGTGCGTGATCAAGCTTGATTTATGAAAAATTAGAGTGTGAATATTTCTAAAAATGAAAATAAAGCATCTTAACAAGTAACTTTGTGAACATGTGTGCGGGCTGAAACTGTTCGCTCGGCATAAAAGCTGTGGGACATTCATTTCGTTTCATCTAAATAAGGCTTTAGTTTTTACAACCCCGCGACATCTTGTAACATGGTGGCAGCGGGAACGTTTGTTGAACACAACTCGTGGTTTGTTATCTAACATTGTCTGAAGTGAACATAAATCCAATAAAGAACTGGACTATGTGGAAGCAAGTGTGGGGACATTATTGTATCATTACTAACAAAAAATGTGCAACTTGCTCATAGGCTTGTATGAACTCATATCTTGTTTCTACCACGGGAATTGAAAGATTGCAAATCTACATTGGATGTGACCCTTCTGAAGATGATTCAGCGAAGGTTATTATGCAGAAGATGGACACTCCAATCTAAAGTAACGAGACATTCGAGCGCTACAAATTCAATACGAGAAAAGTCATGGTTATGTGGCAGCACTAAAGTAAATTGTAAAATCCTGCAACTTTTGTGATTGTCTAAGGGATTCGCTAATAAGAGACAAAAAAGTGTTTGGCATAAATGATGCCAATACGCGCAAACGGCTACTGCAAGAACGTAAACTCACACAAGTTAAGTGTGTTGACATTTGTCGAAGTCTTGAGAATACTACATCATGCATGGCTCAAAGGTTTATCGGGAAGCCAGTAAGTTGATGTTAACAAAGTGACAACCAAATCACAGAACAGATACACACCTAGAAATGAAGGAAGATATAATCCACAGACATATTCGTCCACACCTCACATACACAGGAACAAGTGACAGAACTTGTTCTGTGGACGTGAACATCGGAAAGGACCGCTCCCTGCTTAGGGTAAAATCTTGCAAACAATGCAGACAGACGAATCATTTTGAAAAGTGTTGTCCATGCATGTCAAAGAAACTGTTCATGGAGTACAAGAAGAGTACATCAAAGAGAATCTTCATTCGGCATGAAAAGAGGACTAGTATATACTATCTCTCACCAACCTACAGCGACAGAAACATTAAACAGAATTTTAAAACTTATCATTTTGATTTTCTCGGACATCATGAAATCACAAGTAAGACAGTAAGAAAGTTGAAGCCATTATTGAGATGAGCAGCACTACAGATGTTGATGTTGTTCGTAGATTGACACACATTTCTTCTCTCGCATGTTTCTATTGGTGAGAAAAATGCGCCTTCGGGAGATGCGTGTTGACAGGTTGCATAGAATTTGAGAGGGAGAATTTCATCGAAATACGCAGAAAGATCAAATGAGGATAGTACGACAGAAAATTATATCAGTTTTTTAATGTTATACTCGCGCACAAAGTTGGCTTGTTTTCATCGAAAAAATATGTGAGCATAAATAATCATGGTGTATATAAAGTGGACACATATTTCTTGAAAAGTAGTCTATTTCTCTCCATGTTTTAAAGAAAAAATATTTTTCATTTAAAACATTATATATAAGCGGAAATTTCAAATTATCATAAAACCTTTCCGACTGGGTTGGCCTACATTGTGAACAGGTTTCGAAAAGCAGCCCCATGCTGATTCAATGTCTGTTTACAGCCTACCAATTACAGCCTGTCAGGATATACACGAGTGCACTGAGTCACATAATGACTAACGTTTTACCTCATAACTTGCAGTGACAGAAGCGCTGGCCTTTGTTAGCGCTGGCTTTTGTTAGCGAAGGCTAGATGTGTGTGCTCAACTAGCTATACATGAAATTGTTTGAAAGAATACGTTATGTAAACACTGTTTGGATAAGCCATAAGTGAGACTACCCATGCGTGTGACAATCAATGAGATATGTGAAGTCAACAGCGGATTTAATTTTGATATTTGAATTGACGACTTTATGTTAAGTCATGCAATGAACACCTAACACACCATACCAGATATCATGTCTATTATTCGTTTGTTTTGCAGAATATAAGGCACGTTTGAAACACAATTTGTCAATAATAGAAACAATCGTGATCTGAAGATTACAGAGAAAGCAAAATGTAAAATGTTGGTTTTCTTCATAGATACCAGCTATGTGAATTTGGGAATAAGATATTTAGGCATCCCTATGAGCACCAATTGTCTTTCTTTATGCATATGAATTTATGCTCGGATTGACAAAGTCAAAACAAGGGAATTTTGCCAAGAAGTTTAACTTAAACCCCAATAGTTCAATAATGGTCAAATAGCCAATTCCCTTCCACAGATCTACCCACGTGAATTAGAAATAAAACCAATGAAGGTTAAACTCAATGAAACGGCTTCAGCTGTTTCATGTTTAGATCTATGCAAAAACATTCAGAATGACAAACACAACTCTCAACAAGACTGTTTGACAAGGGGGTTGACTTCAACTTTCCAATAGTTAACTTTCTGTTTATGTCGAGTAATATTTCTGCAAATTAAGCTATGATGTCTACATTTCAGAACTTTTGAAGCATGCTTTGTCTTCAAAGATTTTAAAGAGCACCATGCTTCAAAAGTTGCTTGATCAGGGTAACAACATTCAAGCCCTTCTTGTGGAGCGGATAAGCAGAAGAATTGTGCATTTGATGATAATATAAAAAGCATGAAGTTTCATTGTACCGAAGTATAAACGTTTTGGTATAGGGCAATCGAAAATTTGACCTTTGACGACCGTCTTGGAAAATGGCCGCCATTAATAATACTTTTTCCAGACAAAAAAGATTGTTAACTTTGACAATGGTTGATGACCCACTAGTTTGGATCATTTGGAATAAATGGTGTGATATCAGGATGATAACTTTAGCAATTATTTATCTTAACATATCCATCTCTAAAAATGGTTCACTATGAATCGTCTCATAATAGTCAATAACACAGTGCCAAAATGTGACAACAATTAAGGCAAAACCATGCCGAGTTGACAATAATTATCCCGCGATATGCCAAGGAGAGGCACGGGCCACCGAGCCGTGGATGCCCGTGCCTATAATAAAAACAGAAGATGAGATTGGGTTAAATGGCCGAGGGTGTGCAGGTACTAGTGGGCTACTTAGCTGCTAATTGTGTATACCAAAATGCTACCGTTGCCTTGGCCACGTGCGTGGCCAACGGCGATTGCAGCTAGCGCTGCTGGCCTGAGACTGCTACCGCTGTCCGGCCCCCACGGTAGCATATTTAAACGCTACCATTGCTTGGCAACTCCCACGCTGCTGGCCTAAGTCAGACTACCGCTGCCAGGCCCCAGGTAGCCGGCCAAAGCAGATCCCACTGCCCGGCCCCATTAGCAAAACCATTGTGCGGCTCCCGCCGCGGACCCAACTGTCAGCTACCGCTTGACAAGACGACTTCCGCCGCCGGGCCCATATACCTGGCAATTGTTTGCCCCAACGTATGTTATTCTACGATTCCCCGGCTGAAAAGTCGGGAAAGACAAGGTTCCCACTGAGAAGCAGGTAACCCCGGAAAGGTTCCCGCTGAAAAGCAGGTAGCCTTAAGCACGAGTATTAATTTGGAAGCAAGTTAATTTGTTACTAGCAGTGTAGCCCACAAGAACCCCGCACACCTCGACATAATTTATTGTTGAGACAGGTATTGCATAGATACATATATACAGCTATTAAGAGGTCATGTTTATTTACATATATCAGAATCGGGATGACAGATGCTATGCCGGTCCGCCTGTTAATCTCAGTATCCCGGGACAGATTATCTGTGATGGTGGTAGTTGACCATAGACGTTGATGGTCGCTGAAAGAAGATTGATGACGTGGCCAATCAAGTTTGTCGTCTCTTGTTTTTGTCTTTGTTGAGTGAGTTACCAGAAACAGGTCATCTTTGAAAAGCGTGTCTCTGTTGAGGCCCTCACGCACTTAAGTTTTTGCCTGCAGACGAACCAGATTGAACTGCTTCCCATCCAGTCGTCGTCGGTGGAGGGTTCAAAGCATGCCTCAGCATGAATGCTTAGACAATTTTCAAACAAGGTAGGGTCAAGTACACAACCCTGTTTTACTCCACTGCAAATGTCGAAAGCCTCAAGGAACAGCTGCCAAACTGCAGGTGACTCTCTTGTCACTGTGAAGTGACACAAATTGAAGACTGAAGGCTTCTGAAGATCATGTTGGTCGTAGATCCACACTATCAGCAAATGTCTGTAGTTTGTTCAGGACCATTAAAGTGAAGAGCTTTCCTGCACTGCTAAAAAGAGAGATCCAGATATAGTTGTTACAAACGCTTCTCTCACCCTTCTACAAGATGATGATTGATGATGTGGGAGCCTGCCATGTCCTACTGCACCTCTCCCTTTTTCCAACACTGACACAGAAGTTCAAACTGGTGGACGAGCAGCAGCCCCTTTCTGCAGTTTTGGCCTCTGCAAGAGACGTTGCAATCCCTGGATAGGAGTTAAGTAGTGCTCAACCTATCTCTCCATCTTCTTGCCTCTGTCACTGATCGTTTTGCCCATAGCAGATTTCAGGGGCACCATCCTGCTCTGAGTTTGTCATTTGTGAACACCTTGGTGTTCCCATCATTAGTTGATAATTGAATGCCTTTGCGGACATGCTGCAAGTATTATTGCTGTTTTC